GATCAATTGCAAATGGATTCAGAATATAAATGTTAAAAGAACCTCAAAATAATAGAGCAAAACAGAGATAAATGTCTTTATTACTTGGCAATGGGAAAAGCTTTTATAAATATGATTCAAAATCCAGAAGCAATATCAAGAAAGAAAGGCATTTTGATGACACATAAATTTAAATATTTTGCATGTCAAAAAAGGGGAAAAAATCTCATAAACAAAATTGAAAAGAAAAACCCCAAGGCAAAATTGAAAAGACAAATGAGTAGCATATTAAAATATTTTCAATTTATATTATCCCGAAAGGATATCTTCACAACACAAAATGTTCTCCAAAAATCAACCTTCAAAAGCAGAAAAATGAGCAAAAGTAATAGCCCAGCCGTTCATGTTTAAAAAGGCAAATGGCCCTTAAGTATGTACGATGCTTAATCTCACTCAATATAAAATGCAATGTGCAATGATCAAGTCAAATAACACTCCCATCTCCTTGAACATTAATCATTTCTATTGGGAATTTTTCTCCTTTTCTTATTAATTTGGAAATATATCCTAGAATGTTCCAACCAATCATTACCCGACTATGTTACAGAAAACCAGAACCAATTCCTCATGTGTTTTGGTTCCCTTTCTCTAATCTCTTTCCATCCGATCTCCCAACCCTGACCTTCCCAGTTCTAGTGACCACTATTCCACTCTGTTCTTCTATGAGAATAACAATTTTCCCCCAAATGAGTGAAAATGTGTGATATTTGTCCTTCTAGTTTGGCTAATTTCACTTAAAAATCATCTTGCTGTGGTACACTTGATGCCCATTTGCATGTTTTCTTTTGACAAATGTCTCTTTAGATTTATAGTCCATATCAAACTGAATTATCTGTGGGGGGTGGTGTGAAGTTTTTGAAGTTCCTCATGTATTTTGGATATTAATTCCTTGACTAGTTGGCAAATATTTTCTCCTCTTTTGTGATTGTCTCTTCATTCTGTTGTCTCCTTTGCTGCTCAGAACCTTCTTAGTTCGATTCCATGTGTCTGTTCTTATCTTGTTGCCTGTGCATTTGATATTCTATTCAAAGAAGCTTTGCCTATATCGATGATGTCGTGAAGTATTTCCTCTGTGTTTTCTTGTAGTCATTTAATAGTTTCAGTTCTTATACTTAGGTCTTTGACCTAATTTGAGTTGATTTTTGTATATGGGGAAAGTTGGAACCTAGTTTATTCTTCTATATGATTATCTATTTTTGCCAACACCATTTATTGAAGAGACTGTCCTTTCTTCAATAGAAGTATGTTCTTGGCACCTTTGTCAAACATTAGTTGGCTGTATAGATGTAGATTAATATCCGGGTTTATTACTATGTTCCATTGGTCTATTTGTAGGTATTCATGCTAGTACCATGTTGATTTGGTCTAGTATATCTTGAAGTCAGGCATTGTGATACCTCCAACTTGGTTTTGTTTTTTGCTCAGGATTGCTTTGGTTATTCTGGGTCTCTTGTGGTTCCACATGAATTCTAGGATTATTTTTTCTAATTCTGTGAAGAGTGTTATTGGTATTTATTTTCCTTTTTGATTAGTATATTATGATTACACATAATAGTGGAATTCATTGTTACTTGTTTATACATGCACACAATATAACAATATAATTTGGTAATTTTTATTCCCTGGTATCTCCCCTTTGTCTCTTCTCCTCCCCTAATCCCCTTCCTCTACTTCTGGTTTTTCTTCTTTTATCATGAGATTCCCCCAACTTTTTTTTCTTTTTCCTTTCTAACTTCCATATACGAGAGAAAACACAAGATCCTTAACTTTTTGAGTTTGGCTTATTTTGCTTCACTTACTGTTCTCAGTTTCCATCCATTTTCCTATAAATGACATAATTTTATTCTTGTTTATGGCTATATAAAACTCCCTTGTATATACATACCACCCTTTCTTTGTTCATTGGTCCATTGACAGATGCCTAGGCTGGTTCCATCATTTGGCTATTGTTTACTGTGTTGCTATAAACATGGGTATGCATATATTACTGTAGTACGCTGACTTCAATTCCTCAGGATAAATACTGAAGAGTGGTATAGATGGGTCATATGGTGGTTCCACGCTAGACTTGTGAGGAGCCTCCATATTGATTTCCATAGTGCTTGTACTAATTTACCATCCCAACAACAGTGTAAATGTGTTCTTTCCCCTCATCCTTTCTAGCATTTGCTATTATTGAAATTTTTGATGACTGCTGTTCTAATTGGGGTGAAACGATTTGATTTGCATTTGCCTAATTGCTAAAGATATTGAAAACTTTTTCATATGTTTGTTGGCTATTTGTATTTCTTCTTTAGAACATTTTCTCCATTTTACCCCATCTTATATAATACTGACTATTTGGGGATATATTTAAATAAACTATTCTTCATTTTGAGTTTGTCTGATGTTTTATAGTACTTAAAGTTTTGCATTTCTAGCTGGAAGGCTATATAAATGACACTGCTCTTCCTTGGGTATATCTGTGGTGATATTAATTTTGATGTTTTGCTTAGACTGTTTTTGATTTATCTATTGTATCATCATCTATTACATCACCACCATAATCTTCTTCTTTAAAGAAAAAAAGCATATATCCTATCTCTATCTACAGAAAGCACCATATTGCTGCAGGGGCCAAAACAATGTGTCTCTTCAAATGTACTTACAAAAACTGTACTAAAGCTGCTTATATAACTACATTCTCTCCCTGGACTATAAGTGTATAGATGCAGCATTATCTGGGATTTATTGATTTTGTGATTTTCCATGCTTAGCACATAATTAAAGACAGTTTTATATATTTTATAATAAAATTTTGTGTTATAAATAAACATCAATTTCAATAGTGCCTTTGCTTGTTCTTGATCATACAATACAGATTCATCCACATTTTAGAAAATGGTTGAGTTCATCTACATCATGAACAATATTTTATTACAGTAGTTTTTTGAATTTTTTCATCTTTCTCTTTCCACTTATCAGCCATAGCCTTAGCACTGACTAGAAGTATGTCCTACAGTCTTTTCCTGATTCTCATTCTTTAACAATAACTTTATAATATTTTGATTTTTCAAGTTCTCTCTGTGTCCCCACACATAAACCTGATAATGTAGAGCTGGGAGTAGTGAGGCAGATTATTAATTTAAAAAAAAAATCCTGTAAGTAACTGAAGGTTTGACTTGGTTGTAACATTTATTAAATACTAGTTAGAAATAAAGTTTTTTAAAAGTCAATTTTGTCCAAAGTGTGTAACACAGCAGTGCAAACAAGCTACTACATGTAGTCTACTCACCAGTGTATGGTATATATCAAATTTCTCTCTTGCAGTTCCTCATAGTGTGGGATCTTTCATGCACATGTGCACAATCCAGTGTTAGGTTTCAAGCGACTTGAAATAATAAAGATCTTGCAAACCATCTGCCAAAGGCATGTGTAAGCACACTCCAGTACCTGAAAACTCTCATATGCATGTAATGGATTTTTATTAAAATCAGGGCCGATGAACACTGATGGGTTTGGTTAAGGCAGTGGCTTAATACTCAAGTGTGCCTGGGAGAGGAGACTCTTCCCCCCTACTCATTGGAGCTGGAGAGAGTCTTTAAAGAAAGTGCGGGCGGCGCGGCAGTATCTCCCCGGGGGTGCTGCGGTGAAAGGCACTGACCGCTGGCCGAGGTGCTGAATACTTTCCCGGGGCCGCAGGCAGGAACAGGCCTGTCTAGCTCCAGTTCTGGGACCCCCTGCAGTCTCACACCTTCAGGTGTCAATTCCCAGATCTATGCAAAGATGCACAGCGTGTGTATAGGGGAGTCACCTCCGGAGTCGGGGGAGACTCATTCCCACTGAGTACAGCTTCTGCTTCTCAACAGCAACCACAATAACAGAAACGCAGTTCGTATTTATTTATTGAGTGCCTAATGTGTCCTTGAAATCCCCTTCCAGTGGTTTTTACAATATTTTCGCAATTAAACAAACAAAACCTAAGCTCAGAAGGTTAAAGACCTGCCCCAAGGGAACACAGCTACTAAATGGCTGATATCTGCGCACGCTCGACCTGTACTAGTCTCACAGCCTCCTCTCTTCCTCTTACTACCTATTAGTTACATCTTCCTCTCCTTAGTTTACATCAGGCAAAGCTAATCTCTTATACTGCATGCCCCCTACCAACCCAACGCCAAGTTGGACGCGTGTACAAAGACTGGGATCCAGGACAAGATTATTCATTCATCTGGATCCTACCCTCTTCAGAAATCCAAACCTAATGGGTGATCCAACTCTGGTCTTCCAAATCCTGAGCAAGGAGTCAGTCACATCTCTGAACTTTTTTCTCCTCGTGAACAAGATGGTGAAGCTCTTCCCAGGTGCACTCCTATCTCCTCCAGTTCGAATACAATCTCGAGGTCCTTCTTTTTGCTTCCTACCCCTTTCTCAAATGAGGTGGACACGCTTGCTTTTTCTCCCCACCAGGTTCTCAACCAACTCTACTCTTGTTGAGCAAGAACTCAGGTCCCAGCTACTGAAAGGCATGATCCCCTCCTCCATCACCACGTCCCCACCCCCACCCCCACTCCTGGAATGACCTGTCCTTGCGTGCCACGCTAGCGCCCGAGGCTCAGGAGAGAGCCACTCAAGCTCCAGCTTTGCACAGCCTCGACTCTGCGGAACTCCCGCGCTGGGACGCTTCGGAAGTGCGAGATGCAGCTAGAGCGAGACGGTGAATGCCAAGCGAGGCGGCTCCGGTGATAGGTATGTGTACAATCTTTGGTCGGAGGCTCGGTTGGGAGAAAGAGACTTTGGGGAAGAGGGTGGAGGAAAGGGGAGGTGCTAGAGAGAGCAGCAGGTCACACTCTCCCTCTCTCCTCTCCTTTCCCTATCTCACCTTTCCACTGGACTTCTGCTCTTTCGCCCCGGTCTTTCCTCTCCAAGCATCTTCCCTACGCGCCCGAGTCTGCTGCTTCTTCTCACTCTCCCGCGCCTAAGGGGACCTTCTCAGGGGCCAACTTGATCCAGACTCTCAGCACAGTTGCGTCCCGGTGCCATTGAAGCTGAGCCTGCAGCATGTGGAACGCGACGCCAAGCGGGGAACCGGAGCCCAACCTCACGCTGGCGGACCTGGACTGGGATGCACTCCCCACTAACGACTCCCTGGTGGACGAGCTACTGCCGCTCTTCCCCGCGCCGCTGCTGGCGGGCGTCACAGCTACCTGTGTGGCGCTCTTCGTGGTGGGCATCGCGGGTAACCTGCTCACCATGCTGGTGGTGTCGCGCTTTCGGGAACTGCGCACTACTACCAACCTCTACCTGTCCAGCATGGCCTTCTCCGACCTGCTCATCTTCCTCTGCATGCCCCTCGACCTCGTCCGCCTCTGGCAATACCGGCCCTGGAACTTTGGCGACCTGCTCTGCAAACTCTTCCAGTTCGTCAGCGAGAGCTGCACCTATGCCACGGTGCTCACCATCACAGCGCTGAGCGTCGAGCGCTACTTCGCTATCTGCTTCCCTCTGCGCGCCAAGGTGGTGGTCACCAAGGGCCGGGTAAAGCTGGTCATCTTGATCATCTGGGCCGTGGCCTTCTGCAGCGCCGGTCCCATCTTTGTATTAGTCGGGGTGGAGCACGAGAATGGCACCGACCCTCGGGATACCAACGAGTGCCGCGCCACCGAGTTCGCGGTGCGCTCCGGACTGCTCACAGTCATGGTGTGGGTATCCAGCGTCTTCTTCTTTCTGCCTGTCTTTTGCCTAACTGTCCTTTACAGTCTCATCGGCAGGAAGCTGTGGCGGAGGAGACGCGGAGATGCAGCGGTGGGCGCCTCGCTCAGAGATAAGAACCACAAGCAAACTGTGAAAATGCTGGGTGAGTATCAGCGCACCCTTGGGCTTCCTCTCCGAGGCTCTCTCCTCTCCCTGCGTGCTTTCCCACTTCTCTCTGATTTCCAGTTTCTATTTATTTCTCCCCGAGTCTCTCCCATTCCTCTGGGTCTGTTTCTCTGTGTGTCTCTCAAATATTATTCCCACCCTTCCTTAACTCCCCCCTCCCCATTCCCCTCCTTCCAATCTTTCCCCCCTTCTCCTCTTGCCCCTGACCCTCTAGGTAATTGTAGTCTTGACATCTCTTTTAGTCCCTCTCTCTTTGTCCTTTCTTCTTGTATCTTCTTCCTCTTCTTCATGGGAAAAATGACCCACCTTTGTCATTCCCTAAAATCTATTTTATCTCAGCCCGGAAACGCGTTTCAAAACTGAGATATTTCACAAAAGGTGAGGTTAAGCTTCCTGCTTCAAATAGAATTTGTGTCATTCTACTAGACATTATTATTACTATGTGTATATAGGTGACTGCATTGACCAATATGATTCTGCAACCTGTACACTCAGAAAAATCAGAAATTATATTCCATCTGATTCAAATGTATGATATGTCAAGGTCATTGTACTGTCAGGTGTAACTATTAAAACAAATAAAAAAAATTAAAAAAATAGAATTTGTGAATATCAAAGTTACATCAAGGAAAGCAAGCATCAAAGCTAGAAAATATTCATTCAGTGGCAAATTTAACCAAAACCATGATCCCTTTGGATGATTCTGTTAGAGAGGATTCATTCTTTTCTTTCAATTTTGTGATTTGTTTTCTGCCCTGCATTTTCATGGGAAAATCACATCAACTCTGTTAATCCTGCTGCTATTTATATGGTTTTGTAAAGAAGTCAGTGACAATCAGTGCTTAGGTCTCCTTATGTTTGTTGTCATGAGTACCTGTCTTTCTAGGTGGCATAAACTAGGGTAAGGTAGAATAAGCTAGGGTAAGCAGAGCTCCAACAGCAGAAAGGGAGACCATGGAAGCTACAGGACTTACTACCCTTAAATGGCCCTCCAGGAACATCTGGATGCAGTGTCACAACTAGTGTGCTGAATGTTTATTGTATGAATTCAGCCTCTTTAAAGATGTGTGTTTGGTACAGGTGAAGTAGCAAATGGAAACGTGTCCATACCCAAACAAAATATTAATTCTGCTTGCTTTCTCAAAATCAGCATCTGATATTATGTTAGTTGGCGTTTTAATCACCATTTCATACCCATTGGCATATTTAATGCTTCAAAGAAGTTATTCCAGGATGGTTTCATATTTGCAATTTTATAAATCCAAGATCCTGCATATTAAAGTTATGAGAGTTTATTTAAGGAATGTCAGATTTTATTTCTAGACCAGTGATTCTCCCTATGTGAATCATGGATTGTAAACCTGCTTATGTCCTGAAGGGGACTCCAAGCTCTCATCTGTGACATTCATGTTTCTGCTATGGTAGTTAAGTTGTAGTTCAGTTGTTATTGTGTAACTTAGTTTTGAGAATAAGCTTAGTAATTTCCTGCAGTTTTTTTTTTTTTAAGCCATTAGTTGCCTCCTTGGAGTCTCAACATCAATGCTAATTTTCTTCTTATTTTGACAATTGAAGGGGATCACTAAAGTAGTACAAGGATTGAAACAGTAGTTTTACCTTTGCTTTCTGAATTTCTAAAATCTTACTCTAAAAGTTTAGAAGTCTTGGAAAAAAATCTTAAATGAGCAAAATGAAGTTTTGGATGGATGATAATGTTGATTAGTTTAAAGGCCTTTTATACCTTACTTAGGTCTATTGTAGGTGACATAGACATCTTGGTATTTTTTAATCTTGTTTACAAAGGCAGAAGGATTGCAAGTTTGAGGTGAGCCTGGGCAATTTAGCAAGACCGTGTTAAAAAGGGCTGGAGATGTAGCTCAGTGGCAAGGCACTCCTGGGTTTTCAATCCCCAGTACTGTTAAAAAAAAAAAAAAAAAAAAAAAAGTCAATCCTCTGTAAAACTTTAAAAAAAAAAAAAAGGAAGTTGGACAATGTCATGGCCCACCCCTTCAGTCCCAGCCATTTGGGAGGCTAAGGTCAGAAAATCACTTAAACTCAGGGATTCAAGGCCAAGACTAGCATTGGCAAGATTGTAAATCCTCATCTAGGGAGAGGGGTGGAGAGGAGAAGAGAGGGAAGGAGAGAGGAAAAGAGGTAGGTACCCTGCTCTCCTTCCTACAGATTTTAATACTGCAAGTCCATATTATATCCAAGGAATCTGTATTTTTGAAGCACCCAGGAAACTCTGATTCACAGATATGGTTGAGTACCTTACCTGATATATGTTTGTGTCGTATCTAACACATTTAAAATGATAGATTACTGTGAAAAATTGGCTTCAGCTGAGTCAATATGTCAACTCAATCACAAAATCAAATAGCTCAACTAGAAGTGACTGGGAAGTTCAGTAAGTATCTACTGTGGTTCAGTCAGTCTTTGTTAAAATGGAAGAGGGGGAAAAAAGAGCACAGCGTTCCTCCATGTCAAGAGCAGTACATAAACCGATGTGATTCTGCAATCTGTATTTGGGGTAAAAATGGGAGTGCATAACCCACTTGAATCAAATGTATGAAAGATGATATGTCAAGAGCTTTGTAATGTTTTGAATAACCAATTAAAAAAAAGTGAGAAGAAACAGATGAAGTTAATTTTGATAATATATTTAACCAATTATATCAAAAATTTATTTCAGTTTGTAAAAAAAAAAAAAAGAGCAGTACATAGTGTTTCTCAGTGTCCACCTTATACATACTCAAAACCAACTAAATTTTAAAAATAGAATGTCATTTGCAGTAACATTTCTGGAAGTGACAATCTCTCTCCCATTTCCTTTCAGCTGTAGTGGTGTTTGCTTTCATCCTCTGCTGGCTGCCCTTCCACGTGGGGAGGTATTTATTTTCCAAATCCTTTGAGCCGGGCTCTCTGGATATTGCTCAGATCAGCCAGTACTGCAACCTTGTGTCCTTCGTCCTCTTCTACCTCAGCGCGGCCATCAACCCCATTCTGTACAACATCATGTCCAAGAAGTACCGGGTAGCGGTGTTGAAACTTCTGGGATTTAGTTCCTTCTCCCAGAGAAAGCTCTCCACTCTGAAGGATGAAAGTTCCCGGGCCTGGACAAAATCTAGTATTAATACATGACAGACACATTGCTGAGCAGTCATCGCTTAATTATTCTACACTGGAAGCCATCGCACAGCGGAACTTGGGAGGAAAGCTGGAGGTCGGTTTTGGAATTAGGGACACTTGGATCTGGAAACAGGGGAAAGAAAAGAGAATTTGTAGGGTATGAGCAGTTTGATTGTACACTCATCAGTGTTCTCACACGCTATTCCTGCATCTCCCCACTCCTTCTATGATTTGCTTTCTGCAGCTGGTGCTTTGCAATTCAGAGAAAGGAAGAGGTGCCATTAGGGCACTCAACACTAAATCGGGTTCGCTTTCTCATGAAGGTCATAATTATTTGGCTAAATAGAATGACATTAAAATTTTAAAACATGACTTTAAAAAAACTAGCAATTTTCCTAAAGCTCTAGAGCAGTGCTGTCCAAGAGAAAAGTAATACAGGTCACCTAAGTAATCATTATACAATGATTCATGAGAAATTTACATTCTGTTTGTCACAGTAAGTCTTTGAAGTCCAGCATGTTTTCACACTTACCACTCACCTCGATTGGGCTATGAAGTTTTCATCAGTAACAGTGGATGCATTTAGATTTCATCAAATTTAATAGATGAAAAAGTAGATTCAACAGCTTAAATTATCTAAATACTCTTCAAAATTTTCCCTTAGCTAAAACAACAAGTTTTTTAAAGGTGAGTTAAAAATAAAGATTTAGTTTTTCAGTTGTACTAGGCACGTTTCAAGTGTTCAAAAGCTGAATATGTTCACCATAGGTGACTATACTAAACAGGGCAGCTCTAGTGTATTTATTTTAAATAAAAATTATCATTAATCTTACATAAAAGTTTTTTTTAAAGTACCCCTTCCCTGAATATTTATACAGTGAATTAGCATAGCAGAATTTTAGAGTGACAAATCCTAAAAAAACATACTTCAATGTCCCATTCTTCATGTTTTGAAGAGAAAGAGATGTTAAGAGTGTATAAGATACATTTTTAAAGTAATTGTATGTGTTAATATTCAGAAAATAAAATTTTACAAAAACTACAGGTAATCATAAACCATCTTACTTGGCTTAACAAAAATACTTAAGCCAATCATAAGGCTTTGGTTTGTGAATAAGAGAATAATTATAACTTATACTGGCAAGCTTAGAGGAAACATAACGAACAGAAATTTTTGAAATGGAGAAGGCAGACTCTTGTGAAAGATTCAGAATCCCTAAATGTTACTGCATGCTGATATTCAAAACTTTTTAAAATCATGAAGTCATTTATTTCAAAATATCTATGCCATGTCCTGTCTCCAAATTAGTTCAGCCTTTTGCATCCCACTGCTTATCTGATAAATATGTTTATTGGAATTTTTAGTTTCCCTCTTAATCATAATTATGAATGAGTCAACACCTTCAACTAAATCTCATACATATTAGTTATAAAGATAAAATTTTCATTTATATTAACATTGCTCCCTATATAGTCAACCCTTTACATTTTAAATGTGTTATTCCAAAAATGATTTCTTCATAATCCTGTGCAATACTGCCATATAAATAGCTTCTCCCTAAGATTATTGGTTTAACTTACGGAACTGATTAAGTCTTTTAGGGAAATGACTGCCATGATTGTTTTTCACCCACCCAAAGAAAAGATTACCTTGCTGAAATAATTAATTGACTATTTTTAGAATTATTTCTCTAGAGAAATATTTCTGAAATCTATTTGGACAATAAAACTGGACCATAAATTTGGTCTAAATATAGAACTTCAGCAAATTAATCTTTCAGTTATTTCTTAGAATCTCATTGATATTTTTTTAAAAGTACACTGATGCATTAGGTACATGAGATATTATTAGGACATTTAGCATTATTATTCTAAGCAGTGCTCAGTAAATCCCAAAGATGAAATAAACAACAACTTCAAAGCTTATCCTCTATCTCATAGTTGATTGCCTTGGAGAAAAACAAACCCACTTCTAATTAGTTTCTTCACCTACTCACTGCCCCCCAGCCCCCATCACCACTGTCCTTCACTGGTCCATCTGGGAACTCAGAACTCAGCCGATACATTTAGAGAAAAGAATCTTTAATTTGTCTTTTCCAACCATTGCTTTTATTGATTGTAACTTTATATTATTGTATTTCACATATTATTTAAGACTCAGGGAAAAGAGGAAATTATCCTGAGGAAAATTGTTTCTAAAGGTTACACAAACGTTTAGTATGTGCCTGCTATGTTCTAAACTTCTACAATTAACAAATCAAGGATTTTATTTATCTCTTGTGAGCTCACAATCATTTGAGAATTTTGTTACAGTAGGTAACTGGTAAGTATATTTAAATTACAAAGTAAACATCTCTAGTTATTCTGTATTAAATGGCTCCCCAATGTTTCAAGGGGCTCTTTATTTCACTGTGTTGCATATTTGGCTCAAAATAAATTCATGCTCCCATGTGAACCAGTGAAATTTGTAGACACAATTAATGTGTTTGCTAGTGATGATCAAACTCAAGAGCATTCTTTTTAATGTAGAGAAAACAAAGAAATTGGTTTCTTTTTAAAATCTGACCATGTTTCCACATTCCTGGTTAAATAGCAATGAGGTTTCTATTACCACATCTTGCATTGTCTCAAAATCAAATGTTGGATCATTTTCATTTTAGGGAATGACTGTTATGTGAACAAGAACTCTCTAATGATTTCTTTAAAGCAAACATTCATTACCATGAGTTATTTAACTTTGGAAGTTTTGTGGTAATGGAATTTTAAAAAATGCTTCTAGTGCTTGGTCACAGCTTGAAAACCATCTTAGAGTCATGTGTGTGTGTGTGTGTGTGTGTGTGTGTGTGTGTGTGTGTGTGTTGCTAGGAATTAAATACAACTACTCTGTCACTGAGTTCCCCCCTCCTCAGCCCTATGGTGAACTTTCTATTGTAATGAAGATTGTTGTGGTGGGATTTGACTTCTAATACCAGGGTTTTTTTTCATGCAAATGCTTTTATTATAAACCTGAAATCATCATAACTTACAATTTTTAGCGCAACATTAACAGTTTCGGTTATTTTTTTCATTTATCCTCATACTTGAATTTAATATTTTTAAAAACTGTGAGATATTTTGCAAGACTAGTGCCTGAAGACACTCTTCTTGTCTTTTAAAAAATGGTGTGTACATATTTAAAATGTGACATACATATTTACATATGTAAAATGTTTTTCATCAGAATGTATAAGTGAATAGAATAGAGCTACCTTGTATCTAATGTAAATAATGTTGTTACAAGATAAAACTATGTCTAACATCATTCATCAGCTAATGAATCTCCTATGATTTTTTGCAATTTAAATTGCAGTATTAACCAGGATGTATAGGTGATTGTGAACAAATGTTTTTTTTTTTTTTATCCAGAAAATAAACTGCTAGTCAAAAATCAACAGAAAGCATCAGCTCACTGCTTTCTGGTCACATCACTTATATATTCACATGAATGTATTTAGTCATGTTAATCCCTAGCAATAATCTTAAATTTGAAGCAGATGAGGAGGAAAGTGTGGATGAGACTTGTTATTGAATTTTCCATTTACTCTAGCAGGATGCTGGAGCGCAGCTCTTTTGATTGGTAGAATTATCATCATCCTAAAGAAAAAAAGCTGCCCTGTTTACTTGCCTCCTAATTATTTGGCTATTTACTAGAATTTCAATTAATATTTAACGTTGAAACACTGTATATATCTTTGCTCAAAGGACTGTCAACTAACCTTAAAATTGGCAAAATAATTAACACCCTCAAAACACATGCCTCATGTAAAAGCTCAGAAAGTTGGGCCCAAATGTTATGTCCACAAGAATTCTTTTCTCTCTAGCCACAGAGAATGTATCAGGGAAGAACGGTTTGAAAGATTTTGTAGTGTATTAATATCTCAAATCCAAAACATATCCCTGGCTCAAACAAACAAACAAACAAAAAACTCTTAGCAACATAGATTTAGAATTCTAGAAAACATTTCCTAGTGTAAATAGAGCCAAACAGTATAACTTCCTGTTTCACTAATATATAGTGTAGTCTAGATTTGCATAGATTTTAATACTGTACTCGCTTGGTTGACTTGTATTGCCATAACGTGTCAGAAATGTTATGCTTTGCCTTTCTTTCTTTTTAAAGGTTTTTGTGAACGTTAAAGAAGAGTTTAATGTAGCTCTCGTGTATCTTCTTATGAAATCAGCTTTGGTTTTTCTTCCTTGAGTGTTCATAACCAAATATTTGCTTAATAAATATCTTTTTGAAGGGTGTGCTGACTTTTTCTACATAGTGTCTGGGATATTTTACCTCACCTCTGGTCCCAGATCTAGTTTGTCTTTTAAGGTTCTGAAGTATACAGTTTACAACTGCCTCAGTCTGTCTGGGCATAAAATAACCGAGCCACCACAAAAGCCTTGTAGATTCCAACAGCAACTCTTTATTCCCGAACTTTCACCGACACACTACTCTCACGTTCTGGGAAAATACACTGCCTCCACCGGGCTCTGCGTAACAATTCTCTCAGAACCCCGCGCGAGAACTCAACGGGAACTCCAGGAGCGGGCGCCTGAGGCAGCAGGATACGCCCTATTCCCAGCAGGATCCACCCTAAACCTGGAGCCACCCTAATCCCTGAGCAGGGTCACCTTAACCAAAAATGCCATGTCATTCCTACTTGGCTATGGCTCTCAGCATACAACTATAAGGTGTTTGTTGTAATGAATTTTATTTCTTCAAGAGCTCCAATACTTTATAATGAATGAACCACCAACTGTGTTTTAAAAAGTAGGGGACCCTGTGATGTACTGTGATCCCTCTCTAATCCTTGTAGCCTGCCCCTCACTAAACTGATACACCATTGACTCAAAGAACAGGAGCCCTTTGCCTTAGGGGAAGGGAGGCTTCCTGCTCCTCATGTACTCAGCTACTACTCATGAATGTTGGTTGGAGAAATGAAAGTTTAAAGACTAGATTACGTATTACCCCAGCACTGTCTTCTAGACATATGGAGTCTAGCAGTGTTTTAGTCAACTTTT